TGGGGGTGCTGAGCCTGGGGGTGCGGAGCCTGGGGGTGCGGAGCTTGAGGGTGTAGAGCCTGGAGGTGCTGAGCCTGAGTGTGAGGGGTCTGGAGGTGCTGGAGCTGGTGGTTCTGGGGCTGCTGAGGGTGCTAGCGCTGGAGGTTCTGGAGCTGCTGGAGGTCCTGGTGCTGGTGGCGCTGGAGCTGCTGAGGGTGCTGGCGCTGAGGGTTCAGAGTCTGCTGTTGCGCGGTCTCCTTGGAGTAGCCGCCTTCGTCCACGTGTGCCTCTCACCTCACAGCAGTTGCACGACTGGTACGGTCGCCGTCAGGGTCGCGCTGCTGGAGCCCGGGGCTCTACTGCTGGAGGTACTTCTGCTGCCGTCCCTGGCGCTAGGAGTGGTGCTGGTACTGTTTCTACTGGAGGTGCTGGAGTCGCTGGTCCCGGAGGTGCTCGTACTGGAGGTACTGGAGCTGCTGGGGCTGGGGGTGCTGCGTCTGGAGGTGCTGCTGCTGGAGACACCGAGGCTGGAGACCCTGGGACTGGAGGTGCTGGTTCTGGGGGTGCTGCTGCTGGAGACGTGGAGGCTGGAGACCCTGGGACTGGAGGTGCTGGTTCTGGGGGTGCTGCTGCTGGAGACGTGGAGGCTGGAGACCCTGGGACTGGAGGTACTGGTTCTGGGGGTGCTGCTGCTGGAGGCACTGGGGTTGGAGACCCTGGGCCTGGAGGTGTCGGTTCTGCTGCTGGAGCTTCTGGAGCTGCTGGAGGTGCTGGAGCTGCTGGGGGTACTGGAGCTGCTGGAGCTGCCGGTTCTGGTGCAGCTGCGCCGCCACGACTGTTCTTCGCTCCGCCGTCTCCGTCGTCTCTGCCGCCGCCTGACTCTGTTCTTTGTCAGGTTCTTACTCTCCCGTCGTCTACTGGTCTTCCGTTACAGCCTGGCTCACCGCTGCCTGCTCCTTCTCCTTACACTGAGCGGACGGGTAGTCTTGCTGAGCGTCGTGAGCCTGCGTCGCGTCCTGTCTCGCCTGTTCGTCCTAGTCGTACCGGTCGTCGTGTTCCGCGTCCGCGTTCGCCGCCTGTCCCCACCGCACACCTTGTCGTCCGTCGTCCTTCCTCTGTTCCGCAGTCTGTTTCTCTGCCGTCTCCTCCTGCGTCTTCCTTGCCTCACGTTCCGGACCCTGAGTCTGACCGGTTTCGTGCTGAGCACCCTACTGTCACGCGTCTGCTCGCCACTGTTGTCACTGACCCCTCGTTTGAGTCTGCTGCTGCGACAGCTTTGGTTGCCGAGCTTGTTGACTTTGCGGCTGCCTGTCGTCTAGACTACGCTGCTAGTCTTGTCGCTGAGTCTGAGTCTGTCTGTCCTCCGTCCGTCGGGGGTGAGTGTGCTCTTAGCACGGACGTCCTTGAGGACAGGCACGAGGACCTTGAGTGTCTTGCAGCCGCTGCGCCTCATCTCGTGACCATGCTGCTTGCCCCTGAGGGAGACCCGGATGCACTAGACATCCCCACCCCGCGCTCGTACGCTGAGGCGGTCGCGGGTCCCTACTCCTCTCAGTGGCAGGCAGCCATGGACGCAGAGATGGCATCCTGGAAGTCCACAGGCACTTACGTCGACGAGGTTCCCCCTCCTGGGGCGAACATCGTCAGTGGCATGTGGATTTTCAGGGTGAAGCGGCCGCCTGGTTCTCCGCCTGTCTTCAAGGCACGTTACGTTGCTCGAGGCTTCAGTCAGCGAGAGGGGGTTGACTTCTTCCAGACCTTCTCCCCCACCCCGAAGATGACCACTCTTCGGGTACTGCTGCACGTTGCCGCCCAGCGTGACTACGAGCTTCACTCGCTTGACTTCAGCACAGCTTTCTTGCAGGGCAGCCTGCACGAGGAGATCTGGCTGCGCCGCCCACCTGGCTTCACTGGGTCGTTCCCTCCTGGTACCCAGTGGAGCCTCCGCCGGCCAGTCTACGGTCTCCGTCAGGCGCCTCGTGAGTGGCACGACACACTAAGGACTACGCTTGCGGCTCTCGGGTTTGCGCCCTCCACAGCTGACCCGTCACTGTTTCTGCGCACCGACACTTCGCTGCCGCCGTTCTACATCCTCGTGTACGTCGACGACTTGGTCTTTGCCACTGCTGACACTGAGGCTCTCGCCCTGGTGAAGTCCGAGCTGCAGAAGAGACACACGTGCACAGATCTGGGTGAGCTGCGCAGCTACCTTGGCTTGCAGATCACCCGGGACAGAGCACGTCGCACCATCACTCTGACTCAGTCACACATGGTGCAGCAGGTCCTTCAGCGCTTCGGCTTCACCTGGTCCTCGGCACAGTCCACTCCTCTGGCTACAGGTCACTCGCTCTCAGCTCCACCTTCGGACGAGTCCGTAGAGCCGAGTGGTCCTTACCCAGAGCTAGTAGGCTGCCTCATGTACCTGATGACTTGCACTCGTCCTGACCTTGCGTACCCTCTTGGCCTTTTGGCCCGCTACGTGGCTCCTGGTCGGCACCGAAAGGTGCACTGGGATGCTGCGAAGAGGGTACTGCGCTACTTGTGCAGTACATCGGGCATGGGGCTCGTGCTTGGAGGACGGCGAGAGGTGGTCCTCACTGGGCACTCAGACGCGTCTTGGGTTGACGACCAGGCTACACAGCGGTCGTCACAGGGTTACACTTTCAGCCTCGGCTCTGGTTCTGTTTCGTGGCGTTCTACTCGCTCGTCTTCTGTTCTCAGCTCCAGTTGTGAGGCTGAGATCTACGCCACCGCCATGGCTGCTCAGGAGCTGCGCTGGCTCACGTACCTGCTGACCGACCTGGGAGAGCGGCCTCGTTCTCCTCCAGTTCTGTACGTTGACAACAAGGCAGCCATTGCCTTGTGTGAGGAGCACAGACTGGAGCACAGAACGAAGCACATCGCTCTGCGTTACTTCCTGGCTCGAGAGTTGCAGCAGCGTGGTCAGCTTCGTCTTGTACACGTAGCCACTCGGGCCAACACTGCTGATATATTCACCAAGGCACTTCCGTCTGGTGATCATCAGCGCTTTTGTACCTTGTTAGGCCTTGTACCTACGTTTCCACACTTGCTGTAGACTCTGTCTGTACTGTGATCTTTATATATATATATATACCTGCATGCTTGCTCTTGCTAGGTAGTGATCACTGTACTTTGTTTGTTGCATATATACCTCTGCATGTGGACAGGCCTTGTGGCTCTTTGCTTGTGCTCAGTGTGTGTGGTGACGTTGTGATCCACCCTGAGCTTGTTTTGTTTCTCTTGACTGGTCTTGTGACCCCTTGTTCTCCCCCACTTTGCCTATGGGGGTGTGTCAAACTATGCATATTGTGTTTGTGTAGGCTGCTAGTGGGGTAGCCCATATGGGGTACAACCCAATGTTAGGGTTAGCTTATGTACCCAACACTTCATCAATGCAATTCATTCCTGCTGTCAGATTCTAACAGCTAGACCTGCAGCACATGGCCTCAGGCTCTCCACCGCTCATCACTGCTCCCAACCCATCCAGCTAACCTCTACTTCCTGCTTCTCCTCTTTCCCACACCCTACTCCTCAATCGCCCACCTGCCTTCTCCTCCCACCAGCAGCGACCCATGGATCTCGACGGGCCAGCCACACCTCTTCACCGCGCATCACCGCTCCCGACCCATACAGTCGAACTCTACTTGTTGTTTAACTTCGTTTCCACTCCCCACGCCTCAATCACCCGCCTCCCATCCCCTCCCACTCTCAGTGACGCACGGGCCGTCGGAGGCTAGCGGTACCTCTACACCGTGCATCACCGCTCCCAACCCATCCAGTTGAGCCCTACCCCCTGCGTCCCCTCTTCCCCGCCACCCCATAACCCGCCTGCCATCTCCTCCCACTCGCAGCAAAAGCACGGGTCTTCAGTGGCCTCACCGTCCTTTTCTCAGAACCAGCCCACACCTCTCTCCACCTAGCATCACCGCTCCCGACCTATCCAACGCCACCCCATTCCCAAGACACCAACCGACCACCAGCTCAAACCCTACTTCCTGTTTCCCCTCTTCCCCACACCCCACGCCTCAATCGCCCTTCTGCCATCCCCTCCCACTCGCAGCGACGCACGGGCTTTAAGAGGCCGCACCATCCTCATCGCCAGCCCATACCTCTCCTTCATATCCACCTTGTTACAATCAGTCTCGTTACGGTCCCTCCCGTTACAGTCACTCCCGTTATAGTCACTCTTGTTAGACCCTGTAACAGGGGCTTCCCAGTTGAAGGCGTGTACGAGCCGACCCAGCATGATGGTAACCAGCTGGTGCCCGAGCCTCTGCCCAACGCACATTCGCCTACCCGAACCAAACGGCAGCAGGCGGAAATCAAACCCCCTCATATCCACCTCCTCCCCCACTATCCGCTTCACACCCTCACCTGTTCCACTCTCGGGCAGCTCGAAAACTTCTCCGGGCAGGAACCGCTCCGGCACAAACCTGTCTGGCTCGGGCCACAGGCTCGGGTCGCGGGAAATGGACCACACATTAACTAGCACCATAGTTCCCGCAGGGACCCTATACCTGCCGCTACACAGATCTACAGGACCGGTGGTACTATGGGCGATCAGGAACGCGCCTGGAGGGTGCATGCGAAGCATCTCTTTCACAACAGCCTGGAGATAGGGTAACCGCATGAGCAACACTTCGCCGCCCGACTGCTCCCACGCCGCCTCGAGATCCGATTGCGATTTGATTACATCCGATTCGTGATCTCTGTGCCACTGCTTTAATGCGCCGTCTATCTCCGTTTGTAGCCGCTTCATTGCATCTGGTCGGTTAACCAGCTCCGCTAAAGCCCACTCTGTGCTAACCGCCGCAGTGTCTGTACCCGCTACAAGCAGATCCTGTAGCAGCGAAGTGATCTCCACGTCATCTACCACCAATCCCGACCCAGCCGCCGCTGCTGCTCCCGCCGCTACCGCTGCAGCAACAAGGGTTTTACCAACCCCAAACCCTGAACCCCCGTTTGTGGAACCGTTTACAGATTTAGATTCCTCCCTAGCATCAGCGCTTGCGCTGCCGTTCATCTGCTTTTGCTGCTGCTGCTGCTGCTTCTGCTGCTGCTGTTGCTGCTCTTGCTGTTCTTGCTGTTGCTGCTGCTGTTTCTGCAGCATCAGCAGAACATCCAGAAAATCCCTCTCCGGATCTTCCGGGTTTTCAAGCGGTGCGAACGTGGACGCATCTTCCATTACCCCGCGCCTCTGCTCACCCTCCCTATCCGTCCCTTCCGTCCCCTCCCCCTCCCCTTCCGCCGCCGCCGCCGCTTCCGCTGCTGCTGCTGCCGCTTGCGCCGCTTTCTCGCGTTTCCCCTCCTCCTCCCTCCGCATCCTGCGATGGTCGTCCAGCACTCCCCGGAAGAATTTCTGAAGCTTCGGCGCAAGTACGCGGCACTTGCCTGTCAGTCCGCCGGTCCACTTGTCAAACCAATCCCATTCCGCCACGTGGTCGACGTAGTTAAACGGCCCTAGGAGCCCCGCGATCTTAAAGATCACGGAGTTAACTTCGTCCGCGAGAGCGTCCGGCTTTCCCGGGCGGCTAAACTGGTACCGGCGCCCGCAGCTCATGCGGAGGATATTGTTCAATGAAACCCGCGCTAGATGCGGGCGGATCTCGACTTCTGCCCACGCAAGACCCTCCGCTTGCGCCGCCGCTTCCCCCGCCGCTTTTTCCGCCGCCGCGATTTCGTCGACCACCGCGGTCACCATCCCCTCCGCCTCGTCCGCGCGCACTCCGCGCCAAGCCGCGATGCGCTCCGCCGTGAACAGATGGCTCGTTGCGAGCTTCCGCCGATGCACGAAAGGCGGCCCGTACGGCGCGAACACGAGATCGCGCGGTCCGTGCGTTAACAGCGCGGATGTGATCGCCGCGGGGCGCGACGCGCATGCCATGTCAGCATCCCTCAGAACCTGGCGCGCCGCGGCTGGAGAGGAGAGGACGACCGTTGGGGTTCGACCTAGACGCATCCCCATGACTGGACCGTAGATTTCGGCGAGATCCGTGATCCGACGGTGAGGATCGCCATCGCGGAGGATGTCAGGCAGACTGCCGAAGAACGGCAATCCCCAGGGCCCTGGAGGGAACTTTCCGCGAAGCCACAGCACCCAGGTGGACGACCAGATCGCCGACGATCTGGTTACTAGTTTCGCCTCGCCTTCGCCGGCTTTCGCACCCTTTCCCTTACGACTGGAGGATGACGTGGAAAAGAAGAGGAGAGAGACGGCTGGGAGGAAACCGAGTAGGAGGAGGAGGAGAGTGGGGAGGATGGGGAGGGAGAGAATGTGGGGGGTGAGGGCCCAGGGAAGGTCGATGTGACCCCATGAGAGGAGGGATTGCGCGTTGGGTCGAGGGACAGCCCACGTAATGCCCCCCCAACCCATCCTGTGGCCTGGTCGCCTAGATGATGCTTCAGGCGAATTGGGAGTTCAAATAGAGCGACACGAGACCAGGTAGAGAAGCTGTTAAAATAAACGGACGTTGTTTGACCTTGTGAAGCAAAATGCGATTTATTTCAGGAGAAGCGCGATTGAGATGCCCGTTCAGGAACGCATTATGGAGATTATACGCCACACCAGTGACAGGACGGGACTAAAAAAATCTATCGTGGGCGCTCCAGCCCAGAGAGGTAGTAAGTTAGAGACTACGCACATAGCTCATGTAAGCATTCTGCTTTGATCTGCTAGACTGAACTCTGGTCGTCATTCATAGCCACACATTCGAGAAGGGGAAATAAAGCTGGGCTTTTGGGACAGGAGGAACTAAACGTGAACTAGGATTCTGGCGAGCCTGTTCTTTTGTAACTCCGTAACCATCTTACAGTTCACTGCAGTGAGAGTTTGTGAGGAGGGTCTGCTGTAGCGAAATGGATGGGCGTGACAGTCAGGACGCGTCACAATTGAAATACCGAAGGAGGTTTGGGAATACACAACGAAGCTGTAACATCGATCTCCTCCAAGCCAACATGTGTCTCGATCGCCCTCAGGCTCGTTTATTTACGGGGTTTTGAACGCTTCAGAAAGTTTTGAATGCTATACGCTTGTTTTGAGTACGGTGACAGATAGATTTGAAAGTTACATTGCGCTCGGTGACGTGACCCGAGTTTTAGCGAAACCGCGAAAGACGGATACTTTACACAACGAATTACTGTACAGGCCCCACTTCGATCCCTACAAGATCGAAGTTTCAATTGCAACACGTCCTCAGGCCAGAAGTGACGATGTTGGGGGTTTGACGAGACGTTGCGAAACAGCTGAGATGTGTCAGAGACGCGCTGCGAAGTTACCCAGAGCAGTTGCTTCTCCCCTTCGCCTGAATGTCCTGCGGAGTTCTGTGCCACACCTTTCAGTCAATCCCAGTCAGAAATCCAGCGCGACCAGATGAGGTGACCCTCGGTAATTTCGGAGGGGAAGCTCGTGACTCTCGATGACGTAAGGACCGCTGGGTAGGATGAGAATACTTCAAGCATCTTGGTCCACGTGTAAAAATCATCCAGCATTGATGACGTGGACACTGCTTCGATGCCAGGGCTGCTCAGCGTTTCAAAATTATCATGCCACCTCAAATACACCATTCACACACTCATGATCGGTATAACTTCCTCACCATCTAATCCTTGTGCACCATTCTCAGTATGGACTGACTTAAATTACATGGCATGTTACAATGTAACATTATTGAATCAAGTGTTTTCAGAATACTATGCAACGTTATATCTATGTTCTAGAATACCTGGTAGCAGATCACAATTGTTGATCAGACGAAAAGTTGTTTATCAAACACTTTATATACACGAATGCTATGTAGTGACTGCATTGGTATTCCATGTTCCGTTGTCGAATTTAGATCCAATATGGAATTTCTGGCGGCGCAGCCCCCCTGCGCTTCGCAGCAGAAGCCACAAACTGTACATTAGCGGAGCAGAACTGTCCGTTCTGGTTACAGCAGAGGATGATGTATGTAAAAAACTGTTTCGTTGGCAGTGGTGGACGTTTCGACCGTACCAATAGGCAGGCGCAGCGGGGCGGGGTGCAGTTGCAGTCGGTTCAGCTGAATTCTATGGTGGCACCGCCCCCCCCCTGCCTCCACCAACCGACCAGACGGAAGCCCTCGTAGTGACAAATTTAACGCATTAAATCGTACTGCACCGTACACATGCTGTCGTTGCCAGTTCCGTGGAGTCCTGCGCTGCCCTTCCCAAGTTACCTTTGTCCTTACGTCAGGTGTGGACAGTACTATTTTAGGAGTGTGAAGGAGGAGGACAGGCTATTGAAGGACAGTACAAACAAGCCAAGGACTCTAGAACTAAGACTCTAGCTAACGATCGAGGACGGAAGCCAAAACCGAATGCGCCGCCAAACGCAGGAGAAAGGATACGTGGCACGCCTTTGCATTCTAGCCGCTCAGAACAGTCGTTGTCCTCCCGCCTTTGTCTCATCCCCGCCGTATTCCTTTTTGTTCCATATCGCAAAACCCGAACCAGCTTAGTGCGTCAGGATAAGATCGCTTGCCACACTTGTTCGTAACCGCGCCGTTGCCGATAACAACTAACCGTCCGTCCAGCCAGCTTTGGAAGATAAGGCGTCCAGCATGGAACGCGTAGAGCGTGTACGCTGAATGCCGCCGACAAGGCTTCCGAGGCCCCCCAAAGATCCCGTATGTACTGCAGCGAGCCGTCATACCAAATCCGTCACGCCGTGCTCTCTTGAGTGGACTCAAAAGTCACCTCGGTGTCCTCTCCTCGCTCGTCAAACTCCGTTTCTCTCGCACTAGGACTCCTCCATAGCATCTCATCTCATCCTTCGCAGCTTTTCGAACCGCGAGTTTAGCTGAAAGCGCGCTCCGAAACTCGAATCACCTTTCACCACCATAGCTCGTTTAAGCAGCTAGTAACGGGGATCACCATGCCGCGTACATTCGTCCCTCACTCCATCCTTATCCCCCTCCTCCTCCTTGTGCTCTCCTCTCTCCTCTCCGTCTCCTGCCGCCCAAGCCCTCTCGCCACCTCCAATGCCTCCAAATCCGGCGGCGGAAAATCCGGCGGGAAACGCGGCGGGAGCCGCGGTGGGAAGCCAGGCGGGAAGCCCGGCGGGAAATCCGGCGGGAGTAAGAAGGGCGTTTCCGCGCTGAGCTGCCCGTCGCCGTGGCCGGAGCTCGACAGCTGTCCCACCAGCGAGTCGCTCCCGCAACTCGAGGTGCGACTCTTGCGTTCTCCGCTCTGCATTTCGCGTTTCGCGTTTCACGTGTTGCAATGTCGACACATTGACCGCGCACACATAAGGTGTCGGAGTCGCGCAACGAAAGGGCCCGCGCCTCCGCTCCACCTCCCTCCCCCGCCCCCATTCCCCTCGTCCCGTTCCCCCTTTCTTCAATCTCTTCCCGGCCACCAGGATGCGCAAACTGAATTCCCCGGAGCAGTGTGGGGCGCGCTGCGGCCGCACAAGGTGCCCGGGGTGCGCAACAGCCCTGCGGACGCCACGTGGCTGAACAAGGACGAGCGCGACACGGAGGTTTACATCGAGGAGTGCTGCTCGCTGTGCGCGCTCAACGACGCATGCGAGTACTGGACGTTCACGAGGAGATTAGACTCCATTAAGGGTAAGCCCGACCCTTCTCTCGACTGCTGGAAACTGGGAGTTGTGCGCTCCATCCCTCTCTCCCCGCCCTCGCCTCCCCGCCACATCGACGAGTGCTGCTCGCTCGCTGTGCGCGCTGAATGACCAATGCTGCTCGCGCGCTGTACTGGACCTTCACAAGGAGACTAGATTCCATCCATCAAAGGTGCGCGCATCCTTTTCCGCGTCCTCCCCCCCTTCCTCTCCCCCGTTCACTCTTTGTAGTTTGGAGATTGACCCTCAATTCTTCCCTCAATCCTCCCGCCGTCCCCCTGTTTCCCTTCCCCCCCCCACCCTACACCACCAGGCACATGTCAGCTCTTTTCCAGCCAGCAGTGCGCTCCTAGCAACATCACTCTGCGCTCTCCCGCCCCGCCTCCTCCCTGTTAGTCTTGTTCACACACCTTCCTTTCCCCCTCCCCTCTTTCCCCCTTCTCCCCTCCATCCCCCCCTCCCCCCCCCTCTCCCCCCTCTTCCCCCTCACCAGGCACATGTCAGCTCTTTTCCAGCCAGCAGTGCGCCGCTAGCAAGGCCTACTCCGCCATCTCCGCCCCCGCCTCCTCCTCCGCCTCCTCCCCCCGCACCCGCCACCCCGTCTCCTCCCCCAAAGTCTCCTTCTCCTTCCGCAAGGCGCCAAAAGACGCCGCCCTTCCAACCCCAGGCGGCTCCGACGGCACGGGCGGCAATGGCGGAGCGGGCGGCGGCACGGGAGCAGGGACGGTGGGAGGGGGACTGGATGATCCTTTAACGGGGACAGGGGCAGTGGGGGGGACAGTGGGGGGGACAGCAGTGGCAGTGGTGGCAGCAGCAGTGGGGGAGGCAGCAGCAGTGGCAGCGGCAGTACCACCACCACAGGCAACACCACCTGTCCTTCCTTCTCCGGCTGCCTTTCCGCCTGTCCAGCTGGCACCAGCGCGATCACCCAGCTGTACAGCGACACGTCAGCGCCTGCCACGTCAGCAGCGGCTAACGTGGCGCGGGGGAGGCTGTACGGGGTGGAATCGCCAGCAGCGGGATGGAGCGTGATTGGGGAGGCGGGGTATCTGAGCATTGGGGGGTGCTGTCAGGCTTGTAAGGCGGGGGCTAGCAATGACTGCTACTACTGGACGTGGCAGCACGATCCAAAGGAGGGGGATTATGACCGAGGTGAGTCTGTTACATGCGGTGGAATGCGGTTGAATGCGGAATGCGGTGGAGTGGGGTGGGGGAGGCGGGGTATCTGAGCATAGGGAGGTGCTGTCAGACGAGTAAGGCGGGGGCGGCGAATGACTGTTACTACTGGACGTGGCAGCACAATCCAAAGGGGGTTATTATGACCGAGGTAAGGCGGTGGAATGTGGTTGAATGCGGTGCGATCCAACGCCTGTCCATCTCTCTCTCTCTCTCTGCAGGCCCGTGTATAGCACGCTAAGTATATTCACAGCCAGGTGTTCCCCGTCTCGCCTGTCAAATCTGCTCGCTGCACACTCTCCCCTTTTCCTTCCTGTCCCCCTTTCCTGCTCCCTCTCTGCTGCCCCTTTTGTGACTGCCTGTCTCTTCCCCTGCCCCCCCACACCCCCTCTCACGTCCCCTGCAGGGCTGAGCATGCTATTCCACAGCCAGGCATTTTTGAGTCGACTCAAAAGTCAACTGGCATGGTGCTGCATGAGAAAGGATGGCTCAGTGTCCCGCACATGTTTGACCCTGCACACACACCACCACGTTCATGTTCCCCCGGCCCTGCTACTTTGCGCCTTTGTCCCATTTCCCCTCTCCCCTTGCACGGCCGTGCATGCTCTTCCACAGCCAGGCGTGTTGCTTCACGACAGACGAGGGCTTTCTGAAAACACACACCTTGATCTTTCCTGTAACCCTGCTACCTGTCTGCTGCCTCCCTGTCCACCCCCCTCCTTCTTCCCTTGCAAGGCTAAGCAAGCTATTCCACAGCCAGGCATGTTGCTGCATGACAGTCTGACAGAGGAGAGTATGGCTCTTTGGAACCACACCAACCACACCCCTTCACCTTCCTGAAACTTAACCCTCCTTTTTGTGCCTTGGTGCCTGTTGTCCACTGCCGCCCTGTCTCCCTCACTGCCGCCCTGCCCCCCTCACTGCCCCCGCAGGGCTGTGTACGCTCTTCCACAGCCAGGCGTGTCGCTTCATGACAGACGAGGGCTTTCTGGAAACACACTCTTTTTATTAACCTCCTACATTGTTGCGCTGCTGGCCTACCTGCCCCTCTGCTGCTATTGCCTCCCCCTTGCAGGGCTGTGCACGCTGTTCCACAGCCAGGCGTGTCGCTTCATGACAGACGAGGGCTTTCTCTTCCCACCCGTGTTTGACCCTGCACAGACCAATACGTTTATGTTCCCCCTGCCCTGCTACTCAGCTCTGTAACCATTTCCGCGCGAAGGCCTTATGCTCTATTACTCCGCTTTTGACTATGTATTAGCTGTGTATAATATATATGTATTTTGGACGTTGCAAGCAGCAGGCAATGGAGTGTATTGAATCTGAGATTGACCTGTAGTCAACGCACGAAATGATTACCGGTAGGTTGTAACATGCAGTGACACTGAAACATAACATGGTGGCGTGATGGGTAACAGAGTAACAATAACAAGCATCACAAGTGCACGAGTCCTGTAGCACGACATGACCCTTCATGTGCCATGACCAGCAAGGTTCAGACCAGAATCCAGGCACAAGCAGCACGAGAAGACCACCTAACATGCACTAGCTCTAGCAGAAACGACATGGTAATGTGGTAACACAATGACAACGTAACAGTAACATGATAAGATGGTGGTGACACAGTAACACTGTGACAAGGTGACAGGATGACACTCACACTTGCATACGTCACACTCCCATGCTTCAGCTCCCCCACTCCCATGCTTCAGCTCCCCCACTCCCATGCTTCAGCTCCCCCACTCCCATGCTTCAGCTCCCCCACTCCCATGCTTCAGCTCCCCCACTCCCATGCTTCAGCTCCCCCATTCCCATGCTTCAGCTCCCCCACTCCCATGCTTCAGCTCCCCCACTCCCATGCTTCAGCTCCCCCACTCCCATGCTTCAGCTCCCCCACTCCCATGCTTCAGCTCCCCCACTCCCATGCTTCAGCTCCCCCACTCCCATGCTTCAGCTCCCCCACTCCCATGCTTCAGCTCCCCACTCCCATGCTTCAGCTCCCCCACTCCCATGCTTCAGCTCCCCCACTCCCATGCTTCAGCTCCCCCACTCCCATGCTTCAGCTCCCCCACTCCCATGCTTCAGCTCCCCCACTCCCATGCTTCAGCTCCCCCACTCCCATGCTTCAGCTCCCCCACTCCCATGCTTCAGCTCCCCCACTCCCATGCTTCAGCTCCCCCACTCCCATGCTTCAGCTCCCCCACTCCCATGCTTCAGCTCCCCCACTCCCATGCTTCAGCTCCCCCACTCCCATGCTTCAGCTCCCCCACTCCCATGCTTCAGCTCCCCCACTCCCATGCTTCAGCTCCCCCACTCCCATGCTTCAGCTCCCCCACTCCCATGCTTCAGCTCCCCCACTCCCATGCTTCAGCTCCCCCACTCCCATGCTTCAGCTCCCCCACTCCCATGCTTCAGCTCCCCCACTCCCATGCTTCAGCTCCCCCACTCCCATGCTTCAGCTCCCCCACTCCCATGCTTCAGCTCCCCCACTCCCATGCTTCAGCTCCCCCACTCCCATGCTTCAGCTCCCCCACTCCCATGCTTCAGCTCCCCCACTCCCATGCTTCAGCTCCCCCACTCCCATGCTTCAGCTCCCCCACTCCCATGCTTCAGCTCCCCCACTCCCATGCTTCAGCTCCCCCACTCCCATGCTTCAGCTCCCCCACTCCCATGCTTCAGCTCCCCCACTCCCATGCTTCAGCTCCCCCACTCCCATGCTTCAGCTCCCCCACTCCCATGCTTCAGCTCCCCCACTCCCATGCTTCAGCTCCCCCACTCCCATGCTTCAGCTCCCCCACTCCCATGCTTCAGCTCCCCCACTCCCATGCTTCAGCTCCCCCACTCCCATGCTTCAGCTCCCCCACTCCCATGCTTCAGCTCCCCCACTCCCATGCTTCAGCTCCCCCACTCCCATGCTTCAGCTCCCCCACTCCCATGCTTCAGCTCCCCCACTCCCATGCTTCAGCTCCCCCACTCCCATGCTTCAGCTCCCCCACTCCCATGCTTCAGCTCCCCCACTCCCATGCTTCAGCTCCCCCACTCCCATGCTTCAGCTCCCCCACTCCCATGCTTCAGCTCCCCCACTCCCACTCCCATGCTTCAGCTCCCCCACTCCCATGCTTCAGCTCCCCCACTCCCATGCTTCAGCTCCCCCACTCCCATGCTTCAGCTCCCCCACTCCCATGCTTCAGCTCCCCCACTCCCATGCTTCAGCTCCCCCACTCCCATGCTTCAGCTCCCCCACTCCCATGCTTCAGCTCCCCCACTCCCATGCTTCAGCTCCCCCACTCCCATGCTTCAGCTCCCCCACTCCCATGCTTCAGCTCCCCCACTCCCATGCTTCAGCTCCCCCACTCCCATGCTTCAGCTCCCCCACTCCCATGCTTCAGCTCCCCCACTCCCATGCTTCAGCTCCCCCACTCCCATGCTTCAGCTCCCCCACTCCCATGCTTCAGCTCCCCCACTCCCATGCTTCAGCTCCCCCACTGCCATGCTTCAGCTCCCCCACTCCCATGCTTCAGCTCCCCCACTCCCATGCTTCAGCTCCCCCACTCCCATGCTTCAGCTCCCCCACTCCCATGCTTCAGCTCCCCCACTCCCCACCACCCACTAGCCCCGCGGCTGGAACATCTCAATGATGGTGCGCTGCCTCTTCTTCTCATCCCCACAGACTTCTACAGTCACACTGCCACAGAATCACACCCCCATACGTCACAATCCCCACCACCCACTAGCCCGGCGGGTGGAACATCTCACTGATGGTGCGCTGCCTCTTCTTCTCATCCCCACTCCCACACCCCGCTGCAGTCACACCTCCATCAGTCACCCCATGGGTCAGGCCCCCCCACTTCCCACTGCCCTGCTCCCCCTGCTGCTCCTGCTCATCTCCCCCTCCCTTCTTCCTGCCTGCGAGAGCAGCAGCAGAGGCGGCATGGCGAGGGTCCTTGTGCATGTGCAGCGACTGCTTCTGCTCTCCGTCCATCACCTGTTGGAGGAAAGAATGAAAAGAGTGGCAGATTTAGACAAAAATGTTAAAGCAGAGGAGGGTGGGGCATGGCAGCAGTACATGCGCCCTTGCACTCGCTGCTTTTCTCGAAAGCCGCTACAAGCGGACTGTTTTTCAGGCGCCTTGAAAGTATTTACTCAGTACATTCGCCCTTGCCCTCACTGCTTCTGCTCTGAAGGCGCTGCAAGCTGACACAGGCACTCACCCACCTGTGTCGCAAGCCAATACACGGACCTTCCCACCATGCACGCCCACCCACCTGAACCACCCACCCACTTGCCAGCCCACCCGCCCGCCCATCCACCAACACACCTGCCCCAGATTCTCCAGCTTGTGTTGCACAACACTCCTGAGAAAGAGAGGAAAGAGAGGGACAGGGAATGGAGCGAGCGGGGAGGAGATTTAGAAAGGGGAGAATGAGGATGAGCGAGTGAGCATGAGATGGAGACAGACCAAGTTGAGAGTCGCATGCACCACTGCAGCAGCAGTTTTAAGGCGCCTAAAAATGATACGACTTTTGAGGCGCCTCAAATGTCGTCTCATGCACCACCGCAGCAGTTTTACTGTGAGTGATTAAGTCCAGATTTTACAGTGGCGGACGGGTGGGCTGCGGAGGCCTTACTTCCATAAGCTCGTGTTAAGCTTAGGACAACGACAAAAACCCCATGCAAACCCCATGAGCGAAAATAAGGAACCTAACCAAAATAAAGCGAGCTAGGGCGTTTCTTAGAGAGCCAGCTAGAACAAATCTTCAGAACCAACGTAGCTTCAACGTAGGATCAGAACCAAGTTGAGAGTGATCAAGTCCAGATTTTTTTAGTCGGCAAAAACAGTGGTTGAGAGTGGGAGAATCAAAGCGTTTGTAGGTGATTTTTTAGCATCAATCGAGGCGCCAACTGAGGAGAGGGCCCATCGGACAAGCACAAACACCACAAGAACATCTTTTGAGGCGCCTCAAAAAACAAACACAAGTACGCAAGCACCCACCATATAAGGTCGTCAATGGTTTCAGGGGCATGCAGGTAATACACGTTCACCGAATTGGCCTTCACGGCAGAGGGGGCAGAGAAGAGAAAGGCAAGAGAAGGGCAGTGTAAACAGAGAATCAAGGCTCTAAAACATGCAGGTAATACGCGTTCACTGAATTGGCCTGCACGGCAGAGAAGAGAAGGGCAGGCGAGGACAGAGGATTTTGAGGAGATAAGACAACCAAAGGCGTGCAGGTAATACACATTCACCGAATTGGCCAGCATGGCAGAGAAGAGAAGGACAGGTGGAGGGCAGATTAGCAGGTGAGAGCAGATGGGCATTGAGGAACAGATGGGCATTGAGGAACAGATGGGCATTGAGGAGACAACAAAACGGAAGAAGGAAGGGATGAGGGTACAAGGACAAAACACATCCTGTAATCCTACTACGCCCACCTGCCCTATTCTCTGCCTGCACTAAGTCCCCTGGGTTCCATGCCATTCTACTACTCAACCCCCCAGCACCACTCAACCCCCCAGCACCACTCAACCCCCCAGCACCACTCAACCCCCCAGCACCACTCAACCCCCCAGCACCACTCAACCCCCCAGCACCACTCAACCCCCCAGCACCACTCAACCCCCCAGCACCACTCAACCCCCCAGCACCACTCAACCCCCCAGCACCACTCAACCCCCCAGCACACCACTCAACCCCCCAGCACCACTCAACCCCCCAGCACCACTCAACCCCCCAGCACCACTCAACCCCCCAGCACCACTCAACCCCCCAGCACCACTCAACCCCCCAGCACCACTCAACCCCCCAGCACCACTCAACCCCCCAGCACCACTCAACCCCCCAGCACCACTCAACCCCCCAGCACCACTCAACCCCCCAGCACCACTCAACCCCCCAGCACCACTCAACCCCCCAGCACCACTCAACCCCCCAGCACCACTCAACCCCCCAGCACCACTCAACCCCCCAGCACCACTCAACCCCCCAGCACCACTCAACCCCCCAGCACCACTCAACCCCCCAGCACCACTCAACCCCCCAGCACCACTCAACCCCCCAGCACCACTCAACCCCCCAGCACCACTCAACCCCCCAGCACCACTCAACCCCCCAGCACCACTCAACCCCCCAGCACCACTCAACCCCCCAGCACCACTCAACCCCCCAGCACCACTCAACCCCCCAGCACCACTCAACCCCCCAGCACCACTCAACCCCCCAGCACCACTCAACCCCCCAGCACCACTCAACCCCCCAGCACCACTCAACCCCCCCAGCACCACTCAACCCCCCAGCACCACTCAACCCCCCAGCACCACTCAACCCCCCAGCACCACTCAACCCCCCAGCACCACTCAACCCCCCAGCACCACTCAACCCCCCAGCACCACTCAACCCCCCAGCACCACTCAACCCCCCAGCACCACTCAACCCCCCAGCACCACTCAACCCCCCAGCACCACTCAACCCCCCAGCACCACTCAACCCCCCAGCACCACTCAACCCCCCAGCACCACTCAACCCCCCAGCACCACTCAACCCCCCAGCACCACTCAACCCCCCAGCACCACTCAACCCCCCAGCACCACTCAACCCCCCAGCACCACTCAACCCCCCAGCACCACTCAACCCCCCAGCACCACTCAACCCCCCAGCACCACTCAACCCCCCAGCACCACTCAACCCCCCAGCACCACTCAACCCCCCAGCACCACTCAACCCCCCAGCACCACTCAACCCCCCAGCACCACTCAACCCCCCAGCACCACTCAACCCCCCAGCACCACTCAACCCCCCAGCACCACTCAACCCCCCAGCACCACTCAACCCCCCAGCACCACTCAACCCCCCAGCACCACTCAACCCCCCAGCACCACTCAACCCCCCAGCACCACTCAACCCCCCAGCACCACTCAACCCCCCAGCACCACTCAACCCCCCAGCACCACTCAACCCCCCAGCACCACTCAACCCCCCAGCACCACTCAACCCCCCAGCACCACTCAACCCCCCAGCACCACTCAACCCCCCAGCACCACTCAACCCCCCAGCACCACTCAACCCCCCAGCACCACTCAACCCCCCAGCACCACTCAACCCCCCAGCACCACTCAACCCCCAGCACCACTCAACCCCCCAGCACCACTCAACCCCCCAGCACCACTCTACCCCCCAGCACCACTCAACCCCCCAGCACCACTCAACCCCCCAGCACCACTCAACCCCCCAGCACACACCCACCTGCCCTATCCTGTGCGCCCTGCCCTCCGCCTGAACCAAGTCCCCCGAGTTCCATGCAATCTTTCCCCAAGATCTACCAGCCAAACCCCATCACCGCACTCCACACACCATCGCCGCACTCAACCCACCTGCCCTATCCTATGCGCCCTGTCCTCTGCCTGAACCAAGTCCCCCGGATTCCACGCCATCTCTGCAAACACCACCGTGCTGGCTGCTGTGAGTGTGAGTCCCACACCCGCTGCATGGATGCCCAGCTGCATGTGTGGGTGGGAGGGAGGGAATAGGAGATGTCTCACCACAGCCAACCATGCCTCACCACAGCCAACCACGTCTCACCACAGCCAACCACGTCTCACCATAGCCAACCACGCCTTATCACAGCCAACCACGCCTCACCACACTCTCATAGAGACAAAAAGAGACCGTCTCACCACAGCCACACGCGTGTCGTGTCGGGCTCTTCCTGAAAGTGCGCCACCAGGTGATGCCCCTATATGCCCTTACCACAGCCACACTCACGCCTCAAACGGAGTCCCACCACAGCCATCCACAGCTCACCACAGCCATCCACATCTCACCACAGCCATCCACATCTCACCACTGCCATCCACATCTCACCACAGCCATCCACATCTCACCACAGCCATCCACATCTCACCACATGGCTCAATGAAACAGTCCCACCACACACACCCATCGTCTCACCACAGCAACGCGAGTTCCAGGGTCTTCCTGAAAGCGCGCCACCAGGTGATGCCGCTTCTCAGGTGGTGTGCCTCCGTCAATGCGAATACTCCCCACCTTCTCCTTCTGAGGGACGAGGAAAATAGGAAGGGGGAGAACGGGGAGAGTGATTTAAGGGAAATAAGGTACAAGCGTGTCACCGCCACCAGGTGCTGTTTCTTCTCAGGCGCCGTGGATCCATCAATGCCAATGTAGCCCACCTTTTCCTTCTGCGAAAGGGGAGAACGGAGAGTGATTAAGGGGGAATAGGGTACAGGTGCGTCACCACCAGGTGATGCCTCGACTTCTCGATGGGAATGTAGCCCACCTTCTCCTTCTGACGAATGGGGGCGACAGGAATAATGGATAAATGCGGAAAGACAAAAGGGAAAAAGAGAGAAGGGGAGCAGCAGGGGCGTGAATGAGGGTGCAGCACTGGCAGCTGGTGATGCTTCTTATCGAGCGCCTCGTGTCTGTCAATACAGATACAACGCACCCAATCCTTCCAAAATACAGGGGAGAGGAGAGAAGGGGGTAAAGGAGAACGACAGGAAGAAGAAGGGAAGTGAATGCAGTGAACTGTCCAAAATACTACTTTAGGACACATGGCCCAAAGGTCTTCGGTTCGAATCCCAGTGTGGCCAATTCCACGCATTTTAGCTGGCTGACTGTTTAGCAGTGCTTTGCAGCTGCAGGCCAGTGTTACTCATGGCAGCACTTCCTTCTAACAGCTATCAGCAACAAATACAGGCTTGGCCTGCTAGTATAGAAAAATCAAGTAAATGCATGGCATGGCACGGCATGGCATGGCACGGCATGGCATGGCACGGCACGGCATGGCATGGCATGGCACGGCATGGCATGGCACGGGTACCTGGAAGAAATCCGATAGAGCATCCATCATGGTCATGTGATGGGCGAACACCAGGAACTTGCACCCCGCCTACACGAGTGAAAGCAGGAGGGGCCCACACACAGGGGGCACACACACAGGGGGCACAGGCGAGGAGCACAAACAGACATGCGAAGAGACACATTGTTATGGAAATCCTCCTCAACGCAGAAAGCCAACTGATCCCCAGTTCGTAAGAAAACATGCAAGCAGACATGCCAACAGACATGCCAACAGACATGCCAACAGACATGCCAACAGACATGCCAACACCAGCAAATCCAACACCATGCGATACATAATGACTAGAATTTGACATTCAACACTAGCACATCAACCATCACCACATCATGCAAATTCATGACACACCTTCATGCATTCACATGTCCATTCACCCCACCTCCAGCACACATGCATTCACATGCCAGGGCCCAGGTACAAGGACCCAAGACCCAAGGCCAGGGCGCACGGCATATGGACTCACCTCCAGCATACTCCCTCACAGGTGCTCCCTCACAGCACCATGGTGTGCGTGCATGGTGTGCGTGCATGGTGTGCGAGCATGGTGTGCGTGCATGGTGTGCGTGCATGGTGTGCGTGCATGGTGTGCGTGCATGGTGTGCGTGCATGGTGTGCGTGCATGGTGTGCGTGCATGGTGTGCGTGCATGGTGTGCGTGCATGGTGTGCGTGCATGGTGTGCGTGCATGGTGTGCGTGCATGGTGTGCGTGCATGGTGTGCGTGCATGGTGTGCGTGCATGGTGTGCGTGCATGGTGTGCGTGCATGGTGTGCGTGCATGGTGTGCGTGCATGGTGTGCGTGCATGGTGTGCGTGCATGGTGTGCGTGCATGGTGTGCGTGCATGGTGTGCGTGCATGGTGTGCGTGCATGGTGAGCGTGCATGGTGTGCGTGCATGGTGTGCGTGCATGGTGTGCGTGCATGGTGTGCGTGCATGGTGTGCGTGCATGGTGTGCGTGCATGGTGTGCGTGCATGGTGTGCGTGCATGGTGTGCGTGCATGGTGTGCGTGCATGGTGTGCGTGCATGGTGTGCGTGCATGGTGTGCGTGCATGGTGTGCGTGCATGGTGTGCGTGCATGGTGTGCGTGCATGGTGTGCGTGCATGGTGTGCGTGCATGGTGTGCGTGCATGGTGTGCGTGCATGGTGTGCGTGCATGGTGTGCGTGCATGGTGTGCGTGCATGGTGTGCGTGCATGGTGTGCGTGCATGGTGTGCGAGCATGGTGTGCGTGCATGGTGTGCGTGCATGGTGTGCGTGCATGGTGTGCGTGCATGGTGTGCGTGCATGGTGTGCGTGCATGGTGTGCGTGCATGGTGTGCGTGCATGGTGTGCGTGCATGGTGTGCATGCATGGCGATGTCAACTCATATACCACGTGCGTGAGCTGATACAACTTTTGAGGCGCCTCAAAAGTCTACCCACATGCTCAGCGACTCACCTCCAGCATGGTCCCCAGGTACTCCCTCACAGCATCCACCTTTGCTTCTGCTGACTCTGTGTACAGCTGCTCGCATGAGGAGTGGTGGTGGTGAGGGAGGGAAATGAAGGTGAGAGGGCAATGGCACATCACATCATATCGTTCCTAGGAACTCCCTCACAGCATCCACCTTTGCTTCTGCTGACTCTGTGTACAGCTGCTCGCATGAGGAGTGGTGGTGGTGAGGGAGGGAAATGAAGGTGAGAGGGCAATGGCACATCACATCATATCGTTCCTAGGAACTCCCTCACAGCATCCACCTTTGCTTCTGCTGACTCTGTGTACAGCTGCTCGCATGAGGAGTGGTGGTGGTGAGGGAGGGAAATGAAGGTGAGAGGGCAATGGCACATCACATCATATCGTTCCTAGGAACTCCCTCACAGCATCCACCTTTGCTTCTGCTGACTCTGTGTACAGCTGCTCGCATGAGGAGTGGTGGTGGTGAGGGAGGGAAATGAAGGTGAGAGGGCAATGGCACATCACATCATATCGTTCCTAGGAACTCCCTCACAGCATCCACCTTTGCTTCTGCTGACTCTGTGTACAGCTGCTCGCATGAGGAGTGGTGGTGGTGAGGGAGGGAAATGAAGGTGAGAGGGCAATGGCACATCACATCATATCGTTCCTAGGAACTCCCTCACAGCATCCACCTTTGCTTCTGCTGACTCTGTGTACAGCTGCTCGCATGAGGAGTGGTGGTGGTGAGGGAGGGAAATGAAGGTGAGAGGGCAATGGCACATCACATCATATCGTTCCTAGGAACTCCCTCACAGCATCCACCTTTGCTTCTGCTGACTCTGTGTACAGCTGCTCGCATGGGGGATCGTGGCAATCAGCAGGGTGGGTGGGAACGAGGGGGGGAAGGTGGAAAAGTCTCTGCTGTCATGAGAGTGGTGAGAGAGGGGTGATGGGGCGTGGCGTTGCGTGGTCCGCAGGTACTCCCTCGCAGCCTCCACCTTTGCCTCTGCCAACTCTGTACTTTTTGCTTTTGGGAATTCTCAAAAGTGAAATTCTTTTGAGAATTCTCAAAAGTATTTTTTGTTTTGAGAATTCTCAAAAGTAAAAATCTCATAGCCTCCACCTTTGCCTCTGCCAACTCTGTGTACAGCGGCTCGCATGGGGAACAAACAGTGACGAGTGGTGATTGGGGAGGGCGGCAATGAATGAAGGGAAGGGGGGAATCAGATACCAACTCTGCAAGTGGTGAGAGGACAATGAGGCGTGATCCCCAAATACTCCCTCGCAGCCTCCACCTTTGCCTCTGCCGACTCTCTACGTACAGCTACTCTACTCGCATGGGAGAACGGTGGAAATGAAGCAAGGGAAGGAAGGAAGGATGTGTTTTGGTGCATCTGAGCGTGGTGAAAGGGCAATGACACATCACATTGTATCCAGGTGAAAGGGCAATGGCACATCACATTGTACCCAGGTGAAAGGGCAATGGCACATCACATTGTACCCAGGTGAAAGGGCAATGGCACATCACATTGTACCCAGGTGAAAGGGCAATGGCACATCACATTGTACCCAGGTGAAAGGGCAATGGCACATCACATTGTACCCAGGTGAAAGGGCAATGGCACATCGCATTGTACCCAGGTGAAAGGGCAATGGCACATCGCATTGTACCCAGGTGAAAGGGCAACGGCACATCACATTGTACCCAGGTGAAAGGGCAACGGCACATCACATTGTACCCAGGTGAAAGGGCAATGGCACATCACATTGTACCCAGGTGAAAGGGCAACGGCACATCACATTGTACCCAGGTGAAAGGGCAATGGCACATCACATTGTACCCAGGTGAAAGGGCAATGGCACATCACATTGTACCCAGGTAATCCCTCCACCTTCGCCTCTCTCCGCCATGCAAGCACCACCCACTCACCTTGGACACCCGAACCCTTTCCTCCATCACTGCTGCACTCTCTCCGTCTGCTGCAGCACCCCCAGACTAAAGATATGACCATCTCGGGTAATGAGACGACTTTTGATGCGCCTCAAAAGCACTCTCTCCGTCTGCTGCAGCACTCTCTCCGTCTGCTGCAGCACGCTCTCCGTCTGCTGCAGCACTCTCTCCGTCTGCTGCAGCACGCTCTCCGTCTGCTGCAGCACCCCCTCCCTTGACCTAAACCATGCTGAAGATTTGACCATCCATCCAGCACTCCCCACCCCACCACTCACCCACAACACCAGCGCCCTCTCCCCATCTGCAGCACTCTCCCCATCTGCAGCACTCTTCTTATCTGCAGCACTCTCCCCATCTGCAGCACTCTCCCCATCTGCAGCAGACGTTAAGCCAACCAGACAGGAAACATATTCCTCTTTCAAGCACCACCCACTCACCCGGGACACCAGAGCCCTCTCCTCCATCACTGCAGCGCTCTCCCCCTCTGCATCCCTTGCCACCGCCTTCTTCTCCCGCACCTTCCTCAGCTGCTTTGCGTGTGCGTGGGGGGAGAGAGGGGGGAGGCAGGGTGATACGGGTAGAGGGAAGAGGAAGGAAAGGGGGAGTTGGCTGTTGAGGCGTCTCAACAGCCGAGCGCCCTCTCCTCCATCACTGCTGCACTCTCCCCCTCTGCAGTCGCTGCACTGCTGCCCCCTTCTCCTGCACCTTCCTCAGCTGCTTGGCTTGTGGGGGTAGGAGGGGGAAGGGGGGGGAGACGAAGGGACATTTGGAACGCCTTACAAGACTCCATCTGCACTCCCTGCCGCCGCCTTCCTCCACCTGCAACAGGGCGAGGCGACGCAGACAAGGGCGAGGCGACGCAGGCAAGGGCGAGGTAGCTGTTCAAGCAGGTACATGTTGGAGCAGGTGCATGTTGGAGCAGGCCAAGGCTGGAAACTGTCCATGCAGAGAGTGATTGAGGCAGGGTAAATCAGGAGAGAAGTTGAACGAGCTTTCTTCTGGAAGCAATGTGCTCCTGAAAGGAGTGGCAAGCAGTTAGGACGAATAGTGGGCCGTTGTGACCAACAGCTTTGTGGGAGCGTGATCAGTATGCTGATTACCGTATGCATCGTAAACACATCCAAACGGATTTGTACGGGTGACTTTCACATGCCAACCAGCTCCCATATGTGCAGTGGGAACAAGTACGCTAGAGCCAAAAAGTGAGATTAACTAGGGCATGAACTGAAGTGATAAGAATAATTAAAACTGGCTTCGCCCGGACTTGAACCGGAGACCTTCAGTGTGTTAGACTGACGTGATAACCAACTACACCACGAAACCACACTGAACTAAATAAGCCCCCTACCCGTGTCGTCTCCACACCTTCCTCACACAATTTCCTCATGTGGGGTAAGGGGGTTTGAGGGGGAGGGGGAGAGGACGGACAGGACAGGGGGTTGGTGCAGACCCTTGAAACTCTAAACAGCCTATCAAAGCGATTAAAGACGTCTCAAAACTATTGAAAATCTCCTCCAAGCATAATACCCTCCCTTCCCCCCCTCCTGCGCCTCTTTCCCCACTCAACCCCCTCCCTCCCTCCCACAACCCACCTGTGCGTGCAGTGCGCGGATGGGCTTCATGGCCTTTTCCTCCAGCATCAGCAGCACCTGCAGCAGGGGGGGGGGGGCAGTGGACAAGCGGTGGGGGAGGGGTGGAGGAGGGATGGGGACTTCTAGGTGCCTGAGGGTGCGTGGATGGGCTTCACAGCCTTCTCCTCCAGCATCAGCAGCGCTTGTACAAGGGGAGGGATGGGGGAGGTCTTTGCTATATCTCGATAGCACACTGCACTGCATAACCGGCTAAATCTGGGTCGTGTTAATTCTTGGCTTAAAAAAAAATCAAGTAGATATAATGTATTTTCAGCAGACAACCAAGTTGTCTTGTTCAATACCTGCTGTCGTCGCTTGGCTGGCAGCTGCGGCAGCACTTGCTTCTTGAGCCGCCGGATCATGACCGTACCGCTCAGCACCGCATGCAACTCCTCCAGATTGCTAGAGCCTGTGAACTCTCCGAATCTCCCCTGGTGTTCACATATGCAGGTGCAGGGGGGAACGTAAACATTCACTGTGCATGCAAGCATGCATACCAAAGCGAGCACGAACACACAAAGCACCAAAACATGCACGTATCAACATCCCCCTCAGCAAATGTTTTTTGAGAATTCTCAAATAACATGCACGTATCAACATCCCCCTCAGCACAATTACCTGGAAACGGATGTGACCTGCTGCTACCGCATCCAACCACTCACCCCAAAGTACCATTCACCATTGAATGTGATTTGTTCTTACTGCATCCAACCACTCACCTCTTAGAAACACCTCACCCAATTCAATGTTACCTGTTGTTACCGCATCCAACCACTCGCCCATTGCCAGTACCTCCTGCCATTTAACCTGTTGGTATCGCATTGAACCACTCACCCCCTCGGCTGGCAGTAACTCTTGCCACTGAGTGTAACCTGCTGTTACCGCATCCAACCACTCACCCCTTGGCAGTACCTCCTGCCATACTCCCCCAGCTTGCGATAGGCACGCGGCTGAAGGGCCTCCAGCTGAAATGGAAAGGAGGGAGGGACAGGGCACAGCACAGCGGGGGATGTGTGGGCCAGAAGCTCGAAAGGTGCAGTGAAAGGGGTTGAGTTGAAGATGGGGCGAAGAGAGGAGAGAAAGGGCGAGAAAGGAGGAGATACTTTTTGAGGCGGCTAAAACATCGAGAGGAGAGATATGGCGAGAAAGGAGGAGATGAGGCAAGAGTATGGGAGATGCGAGAAGGGGGATGAAACAATGCAAGTGCACAGGCACACCCAGTGACATACGGATTCACACAGACAGACAGCCGCCCTCATGCACACTCGTACATAAGATATGGGGGGGAACATAAGACACATGCACGCACAGAAGCATACACGCTCAGGTGCATGCACGCACAGCACAGCACAGGAATAGAGGCAGCTCAACACATGTACAGGTCAGCAACACGTGCAGCTCAGCAACACATGCAGCTCAGCCACACATGCAGCTCAATCACACATGCAGCTCAACCACACATGCAGGTCAATGAGCAAAACATGCCTGCTTGAAGAGATCAATGGGGCGTGAGAGGGCAGGCGTGCCCGTGAGAAGAATGGCCCTGTTGGCCCTCTGGTGGCACGGATTGAGAGGTCGCATTGAAGAGAGGGACGAAACATCAAGGCAGTCAACAGGGCGGGGTCAATGTAAGGACGTTGGAGTTGACTATTGTATTGCATTTTATCACTTTCGTATTGCATGCCTTTATTGTACTGTACCACGTTTGTATTGTATGCTTGTATTGTATTGTATTGTACCACTTGTATTGTATAGTATCACTTCTGAATTGTACGCTTGAATTGTATAGTATCACTATTGTGTTTTATTCGTGTATTTTGTATTACCTATAAGAAGCTTCTCAAAGTGATACATGCATTGACGAGGGTCGGAACATCTATACAGTCAACGTGGACAACAAAATGACTCGAGTTGAAGCAAGCAAACGGTTTTGCTGGCAGCTTGAAACGGGCACAGTCAACGGAATCACAGAATCATTAATCAGAGCCGAAGTGGCACAGACAAGCCACTCAGGGACAAACCGCATGTAAGAGATTAAAGGGTTACAAAGCAATAAGAAGGGACACACTTACAGAAGGATAAGCAGCAGGGCGAGCACCAAGCAGGTCTTGCGCACTCAGCACCAAGCAGGTCTTGCGCACTCAGCACCAAGCAGGTCTTGCGCACTCAGCACCAAGCAGGTCTTGCGCACTCAGCACCAAGCAGGTCTTGCGCACTCAGCACCAAGCAGGTCTTGCGCACTCAGCACCAAGCAGGTCTTGCGCACTCAGCACCAAGCAGGTCTTGCGCACTCAGCACCAAGCAGGTCTTGCGCACTCAGCACCAAGCAGGTCTTGCGCACTCAGCACCAAGCAGGTCTTGCGCACTCAGCACCAAGCAGGTCTTGCGCACTCAGCACCAAGCAGGTCTTGCGCACTCAGCACCAAGCAGGTCTTGCGCACTCAGCACCAAGCAGGTCTTGCGCACTCAGCACCAAGCAGGTCTTGCGCACTCAGCACCAAGCAGGTCTTGCGCACTCAGCACCAAGCAGGTCTTGCGCACTCAGCACCAAGCAGGTCTTGCGCACTCAGCACCAAGCAGGTCTTGCGCACTCAGCACCAAGCAGGTCTTGCGCACTCAGCACCAAGCAGGTCTTGCGCACTCAGCACCAAGCAGGTCTTGCGCACTCAGCACCAAGCAGGTCTTGCGCACTCAGCACCAAGCAGGTCTTGCGCACTCAGCACCAAGCAGGTCTTGCGCACTCAGCACCAAGCAGGTCTTGCGCACTCAGCACCAAGCAGGTCTTGCGCACTCAGCACCAAGCAGGTCTTGCGCACTCAGCACCAAGCAGGTCTTGCGCACTCAGCACCAAGCAGGTCTTGCGCACTCAGCACCAAGCAGGTCTTGCGCACTCAGCACCAAGCAGGTCTTGCGCACTCAGCACCAAGCAGGTCTTGCGCACTCAGCACCAAGCAGGTCTTGCGCACTCAGCACCAAGCAGGTCTTGCGCACTCAGCACCAAGCAGGTCTTGCGCACTCAGCACCAAGCAGGTCTTGCGCACTCAGCACCAAGCAGGTCTTGCGCACTCAGCACCAAGCAGGTCTTGCGCACTCAGCACCAAGCAGGTCTTGCGCACTCAGCACCAAGCAGGTCTTGCGCACTCAGCACCAAGCAGGTCTTGCGCACTCAGCACCAAGCAGGTCTTGCGCACTCAGCACCAAGCAGGTCTTGCGCACTCAGCACCAAGCAGGTCTTGCGCACTCAGCACCAAGCAGGTCTTGCGCACTCAGCACCAAGCAGGTCTTGCGCACTCAGCACCAAGCAGGTCTTGCGCACTCAGCACCAAGCAGGTCTTGCGCACTCAGCACCAAGCAGGTCTTGCGCACTCAGCACCAAGCAGGTCTTGCGCACTCAGCACCAAGCAGGTCTTGCGCACTCAGCACCAAGCAGGTCTTGCGCACTCAGCACCAAGCAGGTCTTGCGCACTCAGCACCAAGCAGGTCTTGCGCACTCAGCACCAAGCAGGTCTTGCGCACTCAGCACCAAGCAGGTCTTGCGCACTCAGCACCAAGCAGGTCTTGCGCACTCAGCACCAAGCAGGTCTTGCGCACTCAGCACCAAGCAGGTCTTGCGCACTCAGCACCAAGCAGGTCTTGCGCACTCAGCACCAAGCAGGTCTTGCGCACTCAGCACCAAGCAGGTCTTGCGCACTCAGCACCAAGCAGGTCTTGCGCACTCAGCACCAAGCAGGTCTTGCGCACTCAGCACCAAGCAGGTCTTGCGCACTCAGCACCAAGCAGGTCTTGCGCACTCAGCACCAAGCAGGTCTTGCGCACTCAGCACCAAGCAGGTCTTGCGCACTCAGCACCAAGCAGGTCTTGCGCACTCAGCACCAAGCAGGTCTTGCGCACTCAGCACCAAGCAGGTCTTGCGCACTCAGCACCAAGCAGGTCTTGCGCACTCAGCACCAAGCAGGTCTTGCGCACTCAGCACCAAGCAGGTCTTGCGCACTCAGCACCAAGCAGGTCTTGCGCACTCAGCACCAAGCAGGTCTTGCGCACTCAGCACCAAGCAGGTCTTGCGCACTCAGCACCAAGCAGGTCTTGCGCACTCAGCACCAAGCAGGTCTTGCGCACTCAGCACCAAGCAGGTCTTGCGCACTCAGCACCAAGCAGGTCTTGCGCACTCAGCACCAAGCAGGTCTTGCGCACTCAGCACCAAGCAGGTCTTGCGCACTCAGCACCAAGCAGGTCTTGCGCACTCAGCACCAAGCAGGTCTTGCGCACTCAGCACCAAGCAGGTCTTGCGCACTCAGCACCAAGCAGGTCTTGCGCACTCAGCACCAAGCAGGTCTTGCGCACTCAGCACCAAGCAGGTCTTGCGCACTCAGCACCAAGCAGGTCTTGCGCACTCAGCACCAAGCAGGTCTTGCGCACTCAGCACCAAGCAGGTCTTGCGCACTCAGCACCAAGCAGGTCTTGCGCACTCAGCACCAAGCAGGTCTTGCGCACTCAGCACCAAGCAGGTCTTGCGCACTCAGCACCAAGCAGGTCTTGCGCACTCAGCACCAAGCAGGTCTTGCGCACTCAGCACCAAGCAGGTCTTGCGCACTCAGCACCAAGCAGGTCTTGCGCACTCAGCACCAAGCAGGTCTTGCGCACTCAGCACCAAGCAGGTCTTGCGCACTCAGCACCAAGCAGGTCTTGCGCACTCAGCACCAAGCAGGTCTTGCGCACTCAGCACCAAGCAGGTCTTGCGCACTCAGCACCAAGCAGGTCTTGCGCACTCAGCACCAAGCAGGTCTTGCGCACTCAGCACCAAGCAGGTCTTGCGCACTCAGCACCAAGCAGGTCTTGCGCACTCAGCACCAAGCAGGTCTTGCGCACTCAGCACCAAGCAGGTCTTGCGCACTCAGCACCAAGCAGGTCTTGCGCACTCAGCACCAAGCAGGTCTTGCGCACTCAGCACCAAGCAGGTCTTGCGCACTCAGCACCAAGCAGGTCTTGCGCACTCAGCACCAAGCAGGTCTTGCGCACTCAGCACCAAGCAGGTCTTGCGCACTCAGCACCAAGCAGGTCTTGCGCACTCAGCACCAAGCAGGTCTTGCGCACTCAGCACCAAGCAGGTCTTGCGCACTCAGCACCAAGCAGGTCTTGCGCACTCAGCACCAAGCAGGTCTTGCGCACTCAGCACCAAGCAGGTCTTGCGCACTCAGCACCAAGCAGGTCTTGCGCACTCAGCACCAAGCAGGTCTTGCGCACTCAGCACCAAGCAGGTCTTGCGCACTCAGCACCAAGCAGGTCTTGCGCACTCAGCACCAAGCAGGTCTTGCGCACTCAGCACCAAGCAGGTCTTGCGCACTCAGCACCAAGCAGGTCTTGCGCACTCAGCACCAAGCAGGTCTTGCGCACTCAGCACCAAGCAGGTCTTGCGCACTCAGCACCAAGCAGGTCTTGCGCACTCAGCACCAAGCAGGTCTTGCGCACTCAGCACCAAGCAGGTCTTGCGCACTCAGCACCAAGCAGGTCTTGCGCACTCAGCACCAAGCAGGTCTTGCGCACTCAGCACCAAGCAGGTCTTGCGCACTCAGCACCAAGCAGGTCTTGCGCACTCAGCACCAAGCAGGTCTTGCGCACTCAGCACCAAGCAGGTCTTGCGCACTCAGCACCAAGCAGGTCTTGCGCACTCAGCACCAAGCAGGTCTTGCGCACTCAGCACCAAGCAGGTCTTGCGCACTCAGCACCAAGCAGGTCTTGCGCACTCAGCACCAAGCAGGTCTTGCGCACTCAGCACCAAGCAGGTCTTGCGCACTCAGCACCAAGCAGGTCTTGCGCACTCAGCACCAAGCAGGTCTTGCGCACTCAGCACCAAGCAGGTCTTGCGCACTCAGCACCAAGCAGGTCTTGCGCACTCAGCACCAAGCAGGTCTTGCGCACTCAGCACCAAGCAGGTCTTGCGCACTCAGCACCAAGCAGGTCTTGCGCACTCAGCACCAAGCAGGTCTTGCGCACTCAGCACCAAGCAGGTCTTGCGCACTCAGCACCAAGCAGGTCTTGCGCACTCAGCACCAAGCAGGTCTTGCGCACTCAGCACCAAGCAGGTCTTGCGCACTCAGCACCAAGCAGGTCTTGCGCACTCAGCACCAAGCAGGTCTTGCGCACTCAGCACCAAGCAGGTCTTGCGCACTCAGCACCAAGCAGGTCTTGCGCACTCAGCACCAAGCAGGTCTTGCGCACTCAGCACCAAGCAGGTCTTGCGCACTCAGCACCAAGCAGGTCTTGCGCACTCAGCACCAAGCAGGTCTTGCGCACTCAGCACCAAGCAGGTCTTGCGCACTCAGCACCAAGCAGGTCTTGCGCACTCAGCACCAAGCAGGTCTTGCGCACTCAGCACCAAGCAGGTCTTGCGCACTCAGCACCAAGCAGGTCTTGCGCACTCAGCACCAAGCAGGTCTTGCGCACTCAGCACCAAGCAGGTCTTGCGCACTCAGCACCAAGCAGGTCTTGCGCACTCAGCACCAAGCAGGTCTTGCGCACTCAGCACCAAGCAGGTCTTGCGCACTCAGCACCAAGCA